AATGAAGATTCATCAAAAAATTTAAACAGGGAAACTGTAATTCTTAAGTTAATGATTGAATAATCTCCTGGTGACTTCCACAACTACAAAATACCCATGGAAATTCCCCTATTGCTTCGTTAAATATCTGAGCTTAACAACTTTAACAAAATATTACAATGACAAGCATAAATATTAATGCAGGCCATTATTGAAAGAAGTAACAGGGTACAAATGAAAATATTCAAAATGGACAAGATTTTCTATTTCCCTAAAATAGAAGTTAATGTGAATGTTATCTCCTTTATTTTTCCTTTTTTTCTTTTTATTGATTCTTTTTTTTCTGTTTTCTTTCCCTTCTCTAATACCAAAAACTTTGATATTTTTTTTTCTCCTGATTTGTGGACAGAGAACAGCTCTGTCCACTCAACAGGAATGACTCATTATTTATCTGGAGTAATGGCAGGTCATAATGTCTGCGCTAAGGAACAAACAGAATTATAATAATAGTAAGTGTGAAACCATTTATTATATTCATTCTAAAACTAGAATACATTGTAACACACCTGTTTTTTTTATTCTTTTTTTTTATAAAAAAGAACAGAAATGTTTTTTGGCAGATTTAATAAACCTTATTTAAAGACATCTTACTGTCAAGTAGAAAGCCGAGAAATAAAGCATAGTCATACAACAAACATCTGGTGACCTTAATCTTTCTCTGCCAACGGCTGATATAGCAGCAAATTTTTTTTTTATTCATTGTTATTACCTAGACAGATAACTATGAAGAAGTGGATTGTCCATATACTTACCCACCAACTCCTCTGTTTACCATTGTAGTGGACAAGTGAGAAGACTAAAGCTGACAGCCAGTTGTATTGGGTGTGGGGAGAGTTGGATTCATGCTTCTCATCTCAAAACAGGTTTTTGAAAGTTTATCCAGAATTTCCACAAAGGATGCCAGCCTGAACACAACAGAAATTTAACCTAAAGAATAATACTGCCAACAAAGCTAATATTCTGATAATTGACAGCATCTAGAATCTCTCCCTCCGCAACTACCCATCCACCCCACAAAATCTACTATATGTCCTGTTTGCTTGAAAAAAAGCAATGATTGACCAATGCAAACTCCTGAAAGATTAGAGGTTATTTTAGTTTTCTTGAATGCAGATGACACAATGTTGATAGCAGACATGGAAAGGAAACTACAAGAATTCCTATAGAAGATAGTAAAGGAAAGCAAGAAGAAAAGACTAAGTATCAATTGCAAGAAGACAAAATGTCTGGTTGTCAGTAAAAAGAACAACCCAACATGCAAATTACAAATCAGAGATACCAAAATCAAGCAGGTACAAAAATTTAAATACCTAGGAAATGTTTTAACAGAGGATGAAGAATGCAACACCAAATTCTAAAATATACCTTCCAAAAGTTAAGCCAAGTTTTAATAAACTAGAAAATCACATTAGAAACAGAGAAAAGAGTACTTATGTAATATTAGCCTTCCTATATGACTGAATGCTAGACAATCTCTTCACAGATGAAGTGACTTGAGTCAATAGAAATATGGTTCTACAGAAGGATACTGAGAATACCATGGACTGAACATATGAGCAACAACAAAGTTTTAGAGAAAATGGAAACCAAAAGTGGCACATTCTTAACATGAGAGAGAGGTGATATTTCTGCAGCATATGAAAAGAGGACTTGGAAAATTTGATACTTACACGATATATTGAAAACAAGAGGGACAGAGGAAAGCAGAGAATAATCTATCTAGTGAGTTTGACTAACTGGATAGCAGAACAGGGTTTGAGAAAGACAAAATTAAGAGATACAAAGGAGAGGTTGTGGAGGGCCATGATCGTCCACATTCTGAAGTGACATGGCACATAGAGAATAATCACAAGAAATAATGTCGAAAAAGAAATTTAATTTTGAGATAGTTGAAAATTTTTCTAGAATGAGTAAAGTTGTTTTTGGGATAGTGCCAACAACTTGGATGTTGTTTAGTCTGGAGCCCTGCATTGAATTGAGCAAGTTTTCAGCACCAGAACACTATTTCTGCACATAATTACATCCTTTAGCCTATGCATTTTCATCGTACTTATTATAAAACCAAGGTGTGTGTGTGTGTGTGTGTGTGTGTCTCTTCGTTTATATATTGGATCAGATTTCCTACATTTTTCAACCGATTTCAACAAAACTTAACATGACTACGAAAAAAATTACCTTGCGATGGTTCTGACAGTGCCAAAAATTGGAAAAACACAATCATTTTTGCATGAAATCAATTTGAAAACACAATTAAGAGGCATCGCTGTTTCGAGAATGAAAAGGGGACAACTCATATTGAGTTATACTTATAAAACCCAGGTTGCTTGTGTGTGTGTGTGTGTTCGTTTATGTATGGGATCAGATTTCCTACATTTTTCAACCGATTTCAACAAAACTTTCACTTTTTTTTTAGTAGGTAGTGTTTCTTATTGTCTTGCACACTTTTTTCTTTATTTTTACATTCAGAATGCTTTAAAAATTCCATTTACAAGACAATTGTTTATAATAAAATTGAAAAATTCTATTCAATCAGTAGACTCATAATGATTGAAAACAATGTTTTTGTTTGAGTTTGGGTTTGACCAATTCGTAAAAAAACAAAACAAAAAAAAAACTAATTAAGACATGCGTGTCCGTCAACCTTAAACAATAATTTTGTCAATTTTATTTTTCAGTCTTTATGATGGTCGATACTTGATCTATCTCTTACTGTTACATCCCTGGGCAATGCTGGGCTCTCCTGCTAGTCAGTGATAAACAAGAGCCAACAAGCTATACTCATCAAAAAAAAAAAAAAATGTTGTTCCAACGTCCACCCTGGCCCCGCATAGTAACACCTTTTTTGGGTCCCAGCTATGGGTAAATAGTGAATCGCCACCAAACAAAGACAAAACGCTATGAAAGTATAAAATGGATTTTTATTGTAAAATTACCAGCAATACATATTTATATAAAAAAATTTACCAACAATACCTATTTATAATAAAATTACCAACAATACCTATTTATAGTAGAATTACCAACAATACATTTTATCTATAGTTAGGCATAAAATTACATTCGAAATATATTTAGTTGAAAGCCATAAAATTATGTTCAAAATTTTTAGATTTCGGCATTAAATAACCCATAGATTTGTTGATATGCCACTAAACAAAATCAACCAATCAACTGTTCTTACATCCACTGTTTGATCTCTGTAAATGTTCAGCAAGCATCAAGAAATATCAATGGTAGAATTTTTATTTTCCACCTGATTGAGAAATTCAAAGACGTACCTCAGTTTCTCACACATTTTCATGTCAGACGCCATTTTTTCAGATTACTGCTGAGATGCTATCTGTAAAAAATATTCCACTATTTCTGCCCATGCGACTTATTTCTTTTCTTCTTCTCTCTTTTTTTTTTTTTTAAAAGAATTTCAGTCATTGTGCATTTTTCAGACCAATACTGGCTAGACTGTTCGGTGATGAGTTTTTTGTTTTATTTTTTTATTTAGATGCCTTCTGTAAATAGATTGCCAACCAAGGCTAAATGGCTTGTGTCTACCCATTAGTCGAGGACTTATGATTATGTACTAGCATAACCATTTATGTTTTCCAAACATTTTTGTCTATATGATTTCTCTCAAAAGGATTGGGTCAACCCAAGGTATGATTTTCAGGTGCTTCCCAATGGTCTACCTACTGGGATTGTCTCCTTAGTATGGTACTATCAGGAAGTCATCTAATCAACCATAGTAGGGTCCAAACCTGTGTCACATGGTCAAAACACTAACATTATAACCATTATCTATAACAAAGTTTTAAAAAAATGTTATGAGCTATTGTCAGTAAAAGCCAACATCTGCTGCCATATCACAAACCTCTATCTTTGATGACATGGGCCAACATAAGTAAAGTATTAAATTGGCAATTAGGTCTCATCATTTTACAGTTGAAATAGCTAGATGTAACTGTAAGTTCTATGCTAACAGTTTCTTCTCTTACAGTTCCTGCTCATGGAACTCCTGATTTCTTGCTTCTTTGATAACTAAAATTTTCAAAAATTTAAATGCAATGTCAATGGCTAGATGTAACTGGAAGTTCTATGCTAAGAGTTTCTCCTCTCACACTTCTCGTTTGTAAAACTCTTTGTCAGCTTTTTTCTTTCCAGTCAACTTTGATCTTTGTTGTGGAGTATTTTTCACAGTGGAGGCTTGTATTTCTATAAGTCGTCCTAAATTAGGTTCAACATACAAAACGTTAGGAACTTGGAAAAATAAGAGTTAATGACGCAGCAATCTAGTTGTGATGGTTGGTACTTCAATGTCCGATATCGTCTGACTACCTCAACACCATTGAGCCGGACTCTACTGCTACTTATTGTCTATGGGAGAGTCCATTACCATAGAATAGGTATGTCCAGGCATGACAATCTTGAAAAATTTAAATGCAATATCAATCATTATATTCTAACTTCTTAATTCCTGTTCTTTTATTGTTCCCACTTCTTAAATATTTAATCCCCCTATATTATCTCATACTTAGTAACCCCATTGCATTTTAGTGGCTTTATTGCCTTGCTTGGGGTAAAATGATTTATTTGTTTTTATTTTTCAGATAAATAAAATATAAGGTATTACTTTGTCACTAAAATTCAACAATTTTTCTGTATAATTGATTGCTTCTAAGCAACTTTTTTGTGTTATTCTTTTTCTTCTAAGTCAGTCTAAAATAAATAAAAAATTTTCATCATATGCTCTATAGTAAATTCAAGTAAGAACTAACAAATTTTTTTTTTCCTTCATTCAATTTTCCAGATCAACAAAGTAAAAAAAGGAGTCGTGCTGAGAACTAAAGAAAATATTTCAGGATTTTCTTTTTGACATTTATCTCAACCATTGTTGACTTCTGTCATCAACTTTTTCAATTCTCAATAACTGCACTTTAATAAATCCTGAAATCTGCCTCCAACCAAATATGTTTATCTATCAGACAATGATTAGCAGAACTAGTGATGGACTGCCACTTACAGCAAGCACCGACAGTGGAGTAGCTGGACAAAATAATGCCAAACTGAATCTCCAAGAAGGATTTCAACAATTGAAGCTTATATGCAAAAAGGCAGCCAATTTTTCTGACAGATGCAGCTATGTGATAGGACCATTGGCCATTTAGTAAGTACCAATTCATACTGAATCTTTTTTTTATTTTGAACCTGTATTCTAATTTTTATTATTTTTTTAATACATCATTTCAGTTGGTCTGATTTCCAGTCATCGTTAGATAACCTGCTACTTCCAGAGATTTTTAAACAGGATGTTTTCTATTCTTCAAGCAAATAATTAAACTTGTTGATCTTTTGATTTTCATGGAAATGAATAAAACTCTCTCACATGGCCTGAGTCTAATCTTACCAGAGTCTCCCTTCTCATTCCTACCTTCTTTCTGCTTTATATTAACGATCTGCCTAAGAGCATACTCAGATCTTTAACAAATATCTATAAAGATGATACGACCATGTATGGATACACATCCAAAGATCTAGATAACTAGAGCTTGGTAGCTGATCTTTCCTCTGACCTAGCTCTCAACAGAGGAAAAACTGGTAACATTTAATAACTCCAAAACCAAGCTTGTAATGGTCCCATCAATTCTAACCTTTGCAGATAAGATCTGTCATGCCATGTATGCTGCAATTAATTGTCCCCATTCTCTTCATATTCTTTTAATATGAATGAAATTTAATTTGAACCATTGCTTTGTGAAATGGACTCCTGTGTGGATACTTCACTGATCATTACAATCTTGATCTTGAAGAGATCAAGTCTAAGGTTAACCATCATCTTCTCTATATAACTTCATAAGCTGCACTTCTTACCTCTTCCACTTACATTCATACAACAGCCACATTCAATAACCCTCTACCTTAAATGACTCTTGGGCCTTATAAAGAGTGTTCCAATAACTTGGACCAATTTTAAATATGAATTAAGTTTAAGCATCTTTTTCTTTCAGATTTAACAACTTAAGTCTTTGACAATTTCAACCATGGAAAAATTAACAATGTATTAAAGTTATTGAAGCCTGTTACAAAAACGGACATTGAAAACAGAAATGCATTTCACGCACAGGAAATGCATTTCATGCACTTCGTGATTTTTTTGGTCAACCAGATCAACCAACTGAGTGTATAATTGGAAACGTTGTAGCGTTGTGGAAAGGTTCAATTCCAGCACGTGATGAGGAATAGAGGTGTCTGGATTTTCTGCCACATTCTCGTGCACTTCAGCAATGTTTTCAGCTGAACAGCATAAACGAGTATGCAATGGTGTTTTCACATTGGCCACCGACCCAGTTAATTGTTAATCAAACAATGTGTTAAAGTTTCAAGAGTCCAATTGAAAAAATTCTTTGTAAATTCAAACAAACTGAGTCAGTTGGTCGATTATGTTGACCAAAAGAGTCACAAAGTGCACAAAATGCATTTCTGTTTGAACGTCCATTTTCATAATAGTCTTTGATAACTTTAACATGTTGTTTGATTGTTAATCTTTCCATGGTTGAAATTGCCAAAGACTTAAGTTGTTAAATCTGAAATAAAAAGAAAAAAAACCATTAGACACTTAAACTTAATTCATATTTAAAATCATTCCAAGTTATTGGAATACCCTATATTTCATGAACAATTAGCATTTAAAAACTATAAATATAAATGATTATAAGTTCTCTCCTAAAATTTCAAATATGCACTATGGAATTTCCATGGGTTCTCTTGAGCCTTGTATTGGGTTGAACAATTGGTTTAAAAAAAAGTATTATCTAGATCCCAATTTAAATCGGAATTAAATTATAATTGGCAAAATTTAGAAATTAATCTGTCTGAATTTCTGAGATGAGTTATTATTCATACTATTTATATTTGGATTATAGCCCTCTTCTTAAGACTTCAAGTTCACTGTAGAGAATTTTCCCATGGGATTAAAGCGTTGGTTTGTGATTTTGATAACGTAGTAATTGTGAGCCAACCAGTGTGTATTTGGACTCACTGGAAACAGGCAGGCAATAACTGAGCAGTACTAAAAAATAATAGTTTAGAATTCCCTGTAGGCTACCCAGATAGATATACACCTGAGGAAGGCCAAAATGTACAATGACCAAAATGTTGTGATAACAACAAAGATATTGACAGTAGTCTGAATATAAATAGTTAAATAAATTCAGTCTATTATGGGTTAAGGATGCTAAAGATATCATGGAGCAAGTGTGTGAGCAATGATGAGGTGTTGGAGACGATGCAAACAAGGAGGAAGATTATCCTTGACATCAGTAAGAGGCAGATGAAATTTCTGGGACACGTAATGAGAAAGGAGTGCTTGGAGAATTTGATACTCACAGGTCAAATAGAGGGAAAAAGAGACAAGGGAAAGCAATGCATGACAAACCTGGTGGGCTTAAGCAAGTGGATAGCAGAACATGATCTGGGGGAGTTGACAGAGGTATGAAACTTGTTGAGAGCCACAAGGGATAGGGGGAAGTGGAGAGCCATGATCACCTATGTCCTGAAATGACACGGCACATAAAAAGAAAAATTAGGGTGTTCAATATATAATGTTTCCCTAGCAAGGACGGAAAAACAAATTTAAGTTAAATTCATTTCAATATTATTTATCAAAAATGTAATCCTCTTCACTTTCAATAACTGCAGTAAGTTATTTTTTATTCCACCTGTAAAGAAAACTTTTATGTTTTTTCTTGGGTGTCAGGGAGACTGTTTTCATCTTCACTGTTCTTCTAGTTTGTTTATCCCTAAAAAAATTGGCTATGGAGTTGTTCTAATTTTTAAATTCTATCATGTTTAAACATGGGTTCTCACTCACTGAAGTTAAGCAACATCAAGCCTGGTCAATACCTAGATGAGTGACTATTTTGGAATACCAGATACTGTAAGCTTGTATATGTGGGTGGTTTTAATGGCTTGGAATTGTTAATCGAAGATCCAAGTTCCAATTCCAGTTTGGTTCATTACAATAACTTACGCACAAATACCCTCGGGAAAGATATGAATCCAACTCTTCTCCCTCCAACTATGGAAGTTAATTAGTAAGTCTTGTATCCCTAAACCATTATTATCTCAAAGACCCCAACAGTGGAACAAGATGATAATTATAACTGATCTTGACTGTTAAACCAGCAAATGAAGAGGGCTATGCATGCTTAAATTCATAAAGTCTATCTATCGGAAAGTTCATATATATATATATATATATATATATATATATATATATACACACACAGTGTAACAGATATAAGGAGTTGTCGGGACGAGAAGAAGTCTCTTATATCCGGATCTATTTTGTTTAGGTAAGTATGGGCTCTAATTTGGGACCAGAGAAAATCTCTTATATCCGGTTACAATTGTATATGTATATATTATTATTATTATTATTATTATTATTTTTATTATTATTATTATTATTATTATTATTATTATTATTTCTGCTATGGACACACTACCTACCAAGTTCTGCGGAAAGACCTAAGGCAGGTCGTGGTGTGTTGTTATGGCCACATTTCATAATTTTTAAAATGAAGTTGCTAGCGTTACATAAACAAAGTTCTCCTTAGTGTGTGTGCTGTACTTATAAGACAATTTTCTGTATGTCTCTTAAGCTGGGGTTTCAGGGATTCTTTCAATGTGTTGTTTTGTTCCATTTTTATAATTACCTATTACCACTGGTATTATTCTTGTTTTATTTCCACATTTTTTTCTATTTCAATTTCCAGGTCTTTGTATTTTGATAGTTTTTCAAATTCCTTGGTTGCTATGTTACAATCCGCTGGTAAATCAATTAGTAGGCAAGTTTTTTTTCTTTCTGGTTTTGACAATAATGTCCGGCCTATTTGCTTCAATTTTTCTGTCTGTGTGGATGGTATAATCCCATAGAATGGTGACATCTTCTATTTCTGTAAGCGCTGGCCGATGTTCATACCAGTGTTTGCTTACACATTTTCCAAAGTGTTTGCACATTGTCCAGTGTAAGTTTGACGATTTTTATATTCATTTTGTATAGAACATCCTGAGATTAGATGGTCTATTGTTTCTTGGTATTTGTCACAGAACCTGTATGATATTTGCCTGAAAATTCCTAGTGAAAAGACTCTGGTCAGCAAGAATAAAGCCTTCAGTTTCAGACTTTAATCCAGATATAACCATCGATGAGTATTAACTTTATCAACACGTTCTGGATATTGGCCATGCAGAGGTTTGTCTTAGCGTTGTTTCATCTGTTCAAGGGCTTTATCCTTGGCTTTCTTTTTTCATATCTTTTGCTGCAATAGTTGGTTCTTGGCTTCTGTTTGATTTATTACAGAATCTTAAATGTAAATGTTGTTTTATTTACTGCCTTCTTTTATTATTGAATATTTTTTCTTTCTGTTTTCATGTTGTTTTAATTTTATCATCCAGTCATTTGTTGTTTCCATGTAAGTTATAAGCCAATAGTTGTTGTCTTTATTATGAATAAGACCTCTTCCACCTTCTTTTACGGGGTATGTATAGACGGTCTACATCAGCCTTTGGATGATATCTTTATTAGCTTTCTTGTTTTTTTGATGTATTTAGAGTCCAGTTCAAGATGTTTAATTTTATTAATTATTATTCTGTTTGAGAATTCAATTATTATTAATTTTATTATTATTATTATTATTATTAATTTTATTATTATTATTATTATTATTAATTTTATTATTATTATTATTATTTTATTAATAATTTTTTTTTTTTCTCTCTAGGATTAGTAAAATTTTAAAATAAATGCATTTTTCTTTGTCCATTCATCTTTTTAGATGGATTCTGGTACAGCTATATATTTACTATTCTTTGTCTATTATGCAATGTTCCAAAATCAGAATTTTAGTGGAATTTTTACAGGTAAATCCAGTAATTATCAGGGAATTTTATTAAAAAATTAGACTGGGGACTGTTCAATAATGTAGGCATACTGTACCTTTAAGCACTTGTATGAAGGCATACTGCACCTTTAAGCACTTGTATGAAATTACTTAGAACATATTTAAAAGTGATTAAATAAGAAACTAGTATGAAAACCTTTCTAGATTTAATGGGTTTTGCTATTTATTTAGACTTATCAGAAATTTTTTGGGATTGTAATAATGTGGAGTTGTTCTAATTTTTAAATTCTATGTTGCTTTGATTTCATTGGTTGTGAAAATGTCATGTGTTCATTTTATGATGTTAGTATGTATACATCGCACTTATGTAAGTATGTAGCCAAGAATGTATGTATTTCAACCATGATACCTATGTTCAGATCTTTCCATGATTGATTTATCAGAAAAATGATATTATCAGCTTAGGGAGCTAATCCCAGTGTGTGATTTGATTGTAAAGTGCCTGAAAACTATAACACAAGTTGAACCAAGATTTATGCATATACCCTGACATAATCATAATATTAGCCATTTCCTTATGAGGAAATATTCAGCATTCATTGACCGAGCAGCCAGTACTGTTTTCAGTTGAAATTTATAAAATTTTTCAGGAAATTAGATTTCTCAACTCCAGTAGCTGTTGTCACTCTTTCCAGTATTGATGGGGGTTTCTTTCTCACTTTTTATTTGAAGTATTGTGGAATGTCAACATCTTGTCATTATTTCCTCTTCAAGTTACATGTGTTGTTGTTGTTGTTGAGGCTATTGAAAGTTCTCAAGTGATGTGATTTTTGTTATTTGGTACAGTCCTTTGTTTGTAATTCTGTAGCATCAGCCATCTTGGGAATGACAATAAACTACATCCACATCCTGGGTAAGACGATAAACTATGTCCAACAGCAAGGCCTCTGATCAGGAGGTTTTTGAAAAAATAATATTACCAGCTATATGTTTTTTGAAAGAATAGTGTTGCCGGATATACGTTTTTTGAAAAAATAATATTACCAGCTATATGTTTTTTGAAAGAATAGTGTTGCCAGCTATACATTTTTTGAAAAAGTAATATTACCAGCTAAAAGCTATACATTTTTTGAAAGAATATTACCAGCTATACATTTTTTTGAAAGAATAATATTACCAGCTATACGTTTTTTTAAAGAATAATATTACCAGCTATACGTTTTTTGAAAGAATAATATTACCAGCTATACGTTTTTTGAAAGAATATTACCAGCTATACGTTTTTTGAAAGAATAATATTACCAGCTATACATTTTTTTGAAAGAATAATATTACCAGCTATACATTTTTTTGAAAGAATAATATTACCAGCTATACATTTTTTTGAAAGAATAATATTACCAGCTATACATTTTTTGAAAGAATAATATTACCAGCTATATGTTTTTGAAAAAATAATATTACCAGCTATACATTTTTGAAGAAAAAAAATATTAACAGAAATAGATTTTTAACAAAACAAAAATATTACTAGGAAAAAAGTTGTCAGCATTAAATGACCCATGGAGGTTGATATGACATAAAACAAATCAAATCAACCTGTAGCATCAGTTCACACGGTACAAAGAATTGTGCTTTTCACCAAGATTGATAGGTTTCACTCACTGATTTTCAACTGTTGATCTTATAAAGTGGTTGTATACAGCAGACAATTTAGATATTTGTGAATGTTGGTGCCATGCATAATATCTATATGAATGTCTCGATCTGATGAGAAACGTCATTGAAACAGAATCCATTTGTTTCATATGTTACTTTTGTAATTATTCTATTGAAAGAATTTTTAAGCTTGTTTGTTTTTGTTTTTTTTTAAACCATTTGTTTTAATAATGTAGTAATATTTAATCATAAAGTGTGTCTTGAATAAATGTTTTTCTCTTTTTTTTTCTAGTTTCATTTCAGCTTTGAATATTACCTACTCTGTGCTTTGTGATGTTTCCTACCCTTCTGTCTTGGCTTTCTCATTCCTCAGCGACATTCAGAAAGAATTCCTTACAGATTATGACAAAAGCAAAGTTGACAGTGCTCTCCGACCTTATTCACTTATAGCATTTGGTAAGCAGAAATGATGACAATTCTACACCTCAGCTAACACATGATTCCTCTTCTTTTATTGTTCTTGCTCTTTAATAATGTTTTTCTTTTCCTTATTCTTTCACACTCAATAACTCTCTTGTATTTTAGAGACTTTATTGACTTCATTGGAGTGAAATGATTTAATAAAAAAAAACAACAAAAAACACTGATTATATCAAGATCTTCTAGTTTGTTTATCCCTAAAAAAAATCACATTTTCTAATATTAAACCTGACGTTTCTTAATATTGTTCAAATTTCTTTAGATAAAGCATTGGCAAATTTCAATTTCTGACAAGTTTCTCTTTCTTATTATTGTAACATTTTATTGCTACTTTAAAAGCATCATTCTCATTTTTCTAGCAGCAGCAGATATATATATATATATATATATATATATATATATATATATATATATATATATATATTATTATTATTATTATTATTATTATTATTATTATTATTATATATATATTATTAAAAATCCATACTTGGTAATAAATTTATTTCAATGAATATATTTATCGAAATAAATTTATTACCAAATATGGATTTTTAAGGTTTTCTCCTGATTATTATTATAATTTGCTCTGGAATAATCCCTACCAATTACAATTTGGTATTATACAGTGGCGTAGCTGGAGGGGGCAGTGCACCCTGGGCAGCACTTTTGGTCCGTGGTGAGTTTTCAGAAAAGAAAAACATAATAGTCTAATTTCAATAATTTTTGCAAAAAAAGTAGCGATAAGGAAAAAGAGAGGGTTCAAATGAAGCCAATTTGTCTTTGATATTACTGGCTCAAAGCCAGCCAACCAGCAAAAAAAAAAAAAAATATTGTCTCCAAATTTGCACTGTCAGGTGGTGGGGATAAACCCCACTTATAAGACATGAGCAAAAGATGTGAAAAAATGTGAACATTTTTAAAAGGGCTTTATGTGGGTTTGGATTAAGTGCATTTATTGAATCCACAGTTTTTTCACACCTGTGTGAGAAGTGTAGACTTTGGCGTCAGTTCTTTGATTTTGATTTTTCATGTCTGTGAACTGTTACTGAAAAAAAATTAAATAAATAAGTGAACCAATTGGTTTTTTCTTTTTAACTTATCATAGGCCTAGCTTTAATATGGATATAAAATCATTACTTTTCATAAATTATAAAATAGATAAATAAATTGAAATAATTCCAATGTTTTAAGGATATCACATGCATTCCAATTTTTATCCGGAAATATCGAACAGAAATTTAAAAGAAAATTAGTATATTTTTTTTAAATGTTGAAACTTTATTTAAAGTCCAAAAATGGGCATTTTTTTTTTTTTTTTTCAATTTACAAGTTTTCACGGTAGTAAAACAATGAAATGTTTTATTTTTTTGTTTAGATAGTTGAAGTTTTAATAAAACAGAGGGTATTTAAACAAAAAGTTATCTTTCTTTTAATATCGTAAAAAGTTTTTAAAGTTTTCCTGATTTAGAAAAATAAGAAGTAACGTCTTCATTTTTTTTTTTTACGTATCTCCAGTTTTATTTTTTAAAAAATAAATAAACACAATTGTACTTTTATTTCATACTTTATCAGAGAGGAGTTATAAATGACTAAAACTAAGATAGTTACTGATGACCAGCCTTAACCTACATCCCCCTTCGGCCTTGTGCCACAATATGTATCAATACGTAATAAATATATATTTGTTTTTCTGTGCTTTTAAGATATAAAAAACCTGGCATCATATGGGCATTAGATTCTGAGAAATGGATAAAAATATTAAAAATTGATGATTGTCAAAATAATTTTGTCATTGACTCTGTGTGTGTGTGTGTGTGTGTGTGTGTATACACACACACACACATATATATATATATATATATATACACACACACACACACACATATATATATATATAGCTAAAATCAAAGTATAGCTTTAAGGAATGTTTTTATTTATGGATAAAAGTACTCAACAACAGAGGTAGTATATATAAATATATAACAGTGGATACAGGTCAACATTGTGTCCACTGATAAATATATATACTTATTTATAAAAAATGTTTTTAGATTGTAAGATTTTTTTATTTTTTTTATTTTTTTTTATAGTAAGGGTTTTACTAATTAACCCATAGCTGGGGTAGAAGAGAGGGATTCATACCTTTGTTTCAAGGGTAGTTGCATGTAAGTGAATATAACAAACCCAACATGGATTGGAATTTGATTTTCCTATTAACAATTCTGAGTGATTATCCAGTTCACTGACCACACACCCAAGAATGCTCTCTTACTTCCCCTTTCCTTAAACTCTCACTCAGTAACCCTCTACTTTGAGTGGCTCTTGGGCCGTTTATTGAGTGAACTGACAGTAAAAAAAGAAGTAGAAAAAAGACAAATTTTGAATTTTTCTCTCTGGCATAGTTATGATAAGTCATTTTTGTCAAGATGGGTCACATTACAGGGAGAAGTTGTTTCATGCTTTCCATAGGCATATTAGTAGTTAAGTGCACATGAGCACTTAATGGTAAACAATTTCCAATCAATAAAATAAGCTTCCTAAATAGTACCAAAGAATTAGCTCATATAACTGGTGAACCTGTAAAACAAACTCCCGAGAGAATGCTTCCTTGACAACTACAATCTTGGTCACTTTAAGTCTAGAGTCATCCAGTATCTGTCCTACTCATCCTCTTAATACTGTCTTCTTTCTCACTTCCTTATATTCTTACTCAGTAACCCTCTAACTTGGGTGGCTCTTGGGTCCTCTTACTTCCCCTTTCCTTAAAGTCTCACTCAATAACCCTTTACTTTAACTGGCTCTTCGACCTTTTATTGAGTGAATTAACAGTAAATAAAGAAATTTAAAAAAAAAAAAGGTAAAAAATAAGCAAATTTAAAATTTTTCTCTTTGGCATGCTTATGATAAGTCATTTTTGTCAAGATGCGACAGAATACATAGAAAAGTTGTTTTATACTATGTATGGGGCATAGTTGAGAGGGAAGTCTATCAATGCCCCAATAACACTATAAAATCTCTGAAGTCCACCATAACTAGCACAAAGTAGATAAAGATCATCTGAATTGAATGTGCATGTCAATGTTTCACACCTCTTATTGAAGAAGTCATCAATGTTAACAGCAGATTCATTAAGTAGATGTGTCAAGAAGAGTCGCAAAATTACACGCCATTTTTTTTTTTTTTTTTTTTTTTTTTCAAATAAAGCTCTTCTTTCATGACTTATCGTCTTTTACTAAATTCATAAATGTCCTCAAAGAACTGAGCAACCCTGTAGTTGTTGATGCACCATAAAATTATATCCTTAATTATTAATATCTACTCCCATTTTACTTTGAATTTTTACCTCACAGTAATAACCTGAATTTTTTTTTTATTTCAGATACAAAACTTCAAAGAATTAAAAATAAATACAATAATCCACGTTCACTAACAACAAAAATTAATCTCTCAGAATTAAGCCAAGAAATTAAATTACGGCCACCTTTTCAGATTTCTGACTTCCAAATCCAGCCAGAGAAGTACGAAACAATAGACAATGGGCACCGGTCATTATACTACACTGCTGGTAAGATTGCTTTAAAGCAGCTTGTGTTTTTTAAATCAACATCTTATATGTGAATGTGACTATCAACAGTGATGGGGGTGCTATACAAGAAAGGAATATTTTTCATTTGCATTTTCCCCATTATAAGGATTATTATATCCATGATATAATAACATCTTAATAAACAGACAGAACGGAATAGCTGAATCAAAAGGAATGACAACCATGCTTTGTTCCCAAAGAGACTTTTATACTGCTAGGTCATGTACAAAATTATATGCAAATATATACACTTGTGAAATCTAACACCTGTATACAATAAGCAGTGTGAAAATGATGAAGAGACATAGGGTCTTACTTGTAATAATTTTCCAATGGGAATTCAAGTTGTTGGAGGATTCTTCTATATTTTTTCAGAAGCCAGGAAACAGGAATGCCCTGTGGCGCAGTAGGCTGAATTTATCTTCTATGTTTTTGTAAGGACATATTTCCCAATGGGTAATTGGCACTGTGTGCTTGTATGCTGCCCAGATGGTAGTTGGCTCAAGCAGAGGTCTTGCCTCAGCTGTACTAAAAAAGCAACTGCTTGTCTTGACTCCAGGCAGCTAACCAAAAACTGTCTTTCATCACTCTATGAACTGACATCACTCACTGGCCATCACGTGACCTTTGGGACTTCATATCAACCAAAAGCAGATAATTGGCTTTTTTCATCTCTACAACAGTTTCATTCATTAATATTTGAGTAAGAAAATGGGAATCTTCACTATGATGGCCTTGTGCTAGACTAAGCAATTCTTTGTCAATATCTCTATATCTCTTATGATATATCTCTACATATCTGTATATCCATGATAGTAATAATATTTAATAAAGATTGTATTTTGCCAAAAAAGATGACAAACCAGTGTATTTCTGAAGGATAACAATTTTAAGGCGAGCTGATTTTGTAAATAAAGTGCTCAATATTAAGAAAATACCTAACTCCTGCTTCCATACTCTACCTTTATAAGAGTTGGGCCAGACTAAGAATGTACTATTTCTGCTCAATCCTTGCTGTCTTGCCTCAATAGTGTTTATGCAGCCTTGAGGGTGATGAATTATACTCCACTCTGAAAGCCTTATCCCACAGACAAAATGTTGCCAGCCTTCACTGCTATATTTCTATTACCAGATGCTCGGATGAGTTACACCTCTATCTTGAGTAGCCCTTAAGCTTTGTATTGGGTGAAATATCAATAAATTGAAAAAAAAAAATCAGCTGACACTTACCTACTGTGAAAGCACACGAGGAATCCAGATTTCCTGCTTTCCAGTCAACTTTAATCTGCAAAAATTTAAATGCAATGTCAATCGATATCTACTGTTTTCCTAATTACTTTTCTCTTCCCACTCATTATTAATATTTCTGTTCCAAATTCTTCCACACCCTGTAACCCCCTTGTAACTTAGTGGCCTTACTGCCTTGCATGGGGGTGACACCGATTTTTTAAAAAAAAAAAAATACATCACAATCGAACAGCTTCTTCCCCAGAACTGGTTACTTTGTGGAACAAACTCCCAAGAGAATGCTTCCCTGACAACTAAAATCTTGGTCTCTTTAATGTCCACACTACAACCTTTATACCACAAATGAAACATTACCAGACTTTCACTACTATATCACAATTACTATGGCAGATGTTTGGACCCGTTATATTCCTTAGTGCCACCAGCTTGGACCATCACAGTTAGAACCAGCTATGCTTTGTCCATGGTGGCAAACCATTCTCATTCACTCCATATTCCACTCAGATAGCTTCTTACCCAATACTATTACTTTGTGAAACAAACTCCCAAGAGAATACTTCCCTGACAATTACAATCTTAGTCTTTTTATGTCCTACGTCAACTGATATCTATCTTACTCATAATACTCTCTTACATTCCCACTTCATTACTTCAATGATTATTGATTCAGAAAGAAATTGGTAAGCCAAGTTCAAATTCTGGTTATACATTTGTGAAAATTATTAATCCATTTATGGGTTAAATAGCAGGGTACTGGGTTCTCTAGCCTTGGCTGGTAACCAACCTAGAAGGACAACTCTGAATTCAAATCCTGCAATTACGCCCAGCTAGCAAGATGGCAATATTTAAAACAGCAAAATCTGTAGCCAGCAGATCTGAATTGGGCATACTGATATATCCACCTTCATTTTATATATTTAAAATTCATTTGAGTTTGTAATTATCTCCTAAGATCATCAGGGTTATTAGTGTACACATCCATTTCACACATGAGTGAACATCAAGACAGATTGAACACCTTATGGCAACTAAGATTCTGAAGACAAAGTCCTGTTTGTCAGCAGATTTATGAAAAGCCAAAAGAGCAAAGCTAGGAAAAAGAAATAAATACATATATGAGACTAGTTCTGCCTGAATAACAAATAAATAAAGGGTAAAAAGGAAAAGAAAAATATGACAAAAGCAGCCAGAGGCTGGACATAACAGTAAGATTGTGGATCTAAATGAGTAAGAGAGATAGTTTGCTTACATGAATATATATAAAATTTTCTTTTTAATAAATGAATAAAAACTCCTTATTTATGTGTTAAAATACAATTGCCAATAAGAAAGACCAATGTGGAGAGAGTAGGTTTTGAGATGTATACCGGCAAAGCTATCATTGTTGGGAAGGTCCAGTGCAAGGGTCTTGTGCCTGCTCAATCTATGATACATACCCCACCCCCAACTCTACTAGATCTCAGTTTCCATAAGGTAATATTCATATAAAATACACATTTTATTGTAACCTAATTATGTACAATAATGAATCATATCCAATAGAGGTGAACAATTCAGCTAGAAAAATTGAAAATAAATACAATGTACTTAAATACAAATTAGAGACATGTCATAATTGATCATTCTATCTTAAATAAATCAATGTTTTGTGGCAATTTTTAACATCAACTTAAGATTTTTCTTCTTAAAATGTTTAAGAATTTTAATACATTCAACATTATGGATAAAAAAATAGTGAATTTCATATAGAATTTTTAAAACTTAGCATGAGAAAAACAAACTCATGGATTTGGAGAAAAAAGACCCCAGAATAACATCAAAATCTGCAAATATTTTTATTTTTAATTTGTAACTTTCTTTCTTTCTGGAAAGTTTTCCAGAAAGAAAGAAAGTTACAGTTCAGGAACAGCATGTAAACTGAACATGTGATGACATGAATTCTATATAAAGAGATACAAAGATGATGGTTAACCCTAGACTTGAAGAGCTTAAAATTGGTAGTGGTCAAGAAATTATCCTCCTGGGATTACATTCCACAATGCACTAGTTCTTGAGAAGAAGCTACCCAAGTGGAACATACACCTTACTAATTGAATGTGGGTGGTTCACCTCATTGTAGGTGTCTTTGCAGATCTTAGCTGGTAGGATTAGAGTTAGAACTAAAGAATGTAGCTCATCTGAACATATTCAATAGAAATTTTCTTTATTTCCTTCTAAATCATTTTGCAATAAAGCCACTTAAGACGCAAGAGGTTACTGAATGTGAGAGAATGAGAAAAAAATTATTAAGTAATGAGAATAATAAAAAAAAAAAACAGGAATTAAAACAGAGGATAACAATTGACATTGCTTTTAAATAGTAATAGTTAGAGTAATGAGAGGTTTGCAATGTTTTCCTCCCCTCCCCAAGCCACCACATTTGTCAGAATTAAAATATATTGTTTTACCATTTTTAAAAGACCAAATTAGGTTGAATCACTAGGTAGAAAATAAATATAAAATAAACATCAAATATTAACATGAGTGTTATTCCTTATTCCTTCCCCTAAAAAGGACAGTAACTCAAAATATAATTGAGTTACTTCCCTTGTCTGTCAAGACAAGGGTGCCACTTCTGAATTCAACATGGCAACCAGCTGACACTCACACGAAATTCATTGTTTCATTCCATACAATCCTTACGGTTCCTCAGACAATAAATGAATAAAAACTCCTTATTTATGTGTTAAAATACAATTGCCAATAAGAAAGACCAATGTGGAGAGAGTAGGTTTTGAGATGTATACCGGCAAAGCTATCATTGTTGGGAAGGTCCAGTGCAAGGGTCTTGTGCCTGCTCAATCTATGATACATACCCCCCCCCAACTCTACTAGATCTCAGTTTCCATAAGGTAGTATTCATATAAAATACACATTTTATTGTAACCTAATTATGTACAATAATGAATCATATCCAACAGAGGTGAACAATTCAGCTAGAAAAATTGAAAATAAATACAATGTACTTAAATACAAATTAGAGACATGTCATAATTGATCATTCTATCTTAAATAAATCAATGTTTTGTGGCAATTTTTAACATCAACTTAAGATTTTTCTTCTTAAAATGTTTAAGAATTTTAACACATTCAACATTATGGATAAAAAAATAGTGAATTTCATATAGAATTTTTAAAACTTAGCATGAGAAAAACAAACTCATGGATTTGGAGAAAAAAGACTCCAGAATAACATCAAAATTCGCAAATATTTTTATCCTTTAATAGTGGATTGTGCATAGTTTAATTTGTAACATCTATAAATGTAGATAGAAAAAAAAGCAATTGTTGTAAGATAGCAAGGGTCACAAAGCACTGCTAAAGGCCCCCAATCAGGCTTGACCTCCCCACTTCCTCCACTCAGTTGGGGATGACAGTAGTAGTACACACTGGTCCTGGTTGGAGATAACTAAAATTGGGACAAATAAAGGGGAAGTAACAGTGGTAACAGAATTATTAAATGGAGGTGTTTAGTTGTTTGTCTAGCACCAGTAAGATTTTTGGAAAACATGTTTAGGGAAAAAGATTTTTCAGGAAAAAAAATTGAACCTTATATGACAGGATAGGTGATAACTGGTAATCATAATTCTCTGTCTTGTTACTTTTCAGCCAGTATGGGTGGACGATATATTCCCCTTGGAGTGACTGGCTATACAGCATTGGCTATGTCAATAATGTGTCTTATATTACACTTGATTCACGGATTGAATGTTGTCAGCACAGGACACATGGACGTAAGTAGATTCAGTAAATTTGTCTTTGCATTCTATCTTTTATGCATGAATCATTCATCATCCTGTGTATGATGATAACCTACATCTGGCAGCAAAGCCTCAGCTCAAGAGAGTTTGAGGAGAATGGAACCACCTTTTAATTGCTGTTGATCCCAAATCCACCCTGACCCAGGATGGAAGCACTTGTTAGGGTCCTAGCTATGAGCAAATAACGAATACCCCCTAAACAAAAACAATATTATAAAAGTATAAAAATATATTTTTATAGTGAAGGTCCCAGCAGTACTTTTTCCACAGTAAAAAATATACTAGTAATACATTTTTGTAAAAGAAATTGCTAATGCTCTCAAGAAAATTTAAATTTCGGCATTAAATGACCTATAATGAGTTGATATGCTGTTAAACAAACAAAACAAATGATTCAAATATAAATAATCCATGTGAAACTTTTTTTTTTTATTTGTGGCAAAAGACATTAACAGCAATGTAAGGTTTCATCAAACCATCATGTACACAATTCTAAATTCAAGTTTCAGTACAATGCTAGATTTGGTGTCTCATGGTGGTATATCATTGACTTAACAATCTTCACCCTATACTGTGTTCAATTTTTATTTGGGGCAAATTTGAACCCTCAAGCGTCAATGTAGTTTCATCAAACTATCATGCACTTCTCACTTGTGGAACTCTCTTTCGCTTGTTGCTTTCCAGCCAACTTTTATCTTCACAAATTTAAATGCAATGTCAATCATTATCTTCTGTCTTCTTAATTGCTCTTCTTTTATTGTTCTTTCTCTTTAATAATTTTTTTTCTCATATTCTCTCACATTCAATAGCCTTTTGCTTCTTAGTGGCTCTATTTATTTTTTTATATGGATATGTGTCCCTAGATGTACTTCCGATGGGCAACCCTGAGGCAATGTTATGACTTAGTTAGATTTTTATTGACATAGATGGATGGTTGGTGGTTCTCGTTTAGTGGCATATGAACGTCAATGGGTTATTAATGGTTTATTTTTATTTTTGAGATAATAATGGTTTAGTGATACAAGTCTTACTAATTAACCCATAGCTGGGGGAGACAAAGTGGATTCATATATTTTCCAAGGATATTTGTGCAAAAGTGAATATAACTAACCCAACTGGAATTGGTACTTTGCTCTCCAGTTAACAATTCTAAGCCGTTAAACATTACACCACCCACACATCCAAGCTTACAGCACCTGATATTCCCATTTCAGTCATCCATCTAGGTCCTGACCAGGCTCAATGTTGCTTAACTTAAGTGATCATATGAGAACCAGTAGTTTCAATGTGATATGGCCATAAGACTTTTAAAGGAGGATGCTGAAAATACCATGGGGTGAACATGTGACTAACAAGGAAGTTTTAAGAAAAATGTGTTGCTCACATGTTCAGTTCATGACATTCTCAGCATCCTCCTGTAGGAGTCTTATGGCCATATCACGTTGAAACTACTGGGCTCTGTATGATCACCAGATTTAAGCAACATCGAAACTGGTCAATACCTAAATGGGTGACCACTTGGGAATGCCAGGTGATGTAAGTTTGGATGTGCAGGTGGTGTAATGGATAATGACTTGGAATTGTTAATTGAAGAGCTGAGTTCCAATTCCAGTTGGGTTCATTATATTCATTTCACTTTTGTGCAAATCAAATATCCTTAGGAAAGATATGAATACACCTCTTCTCCCTTAGCTATGGGTTAATTAGTGAGACTTGTATCACAAGATTATTATCATATCAAAAATAAATTCTTACTATCTAAAAATATTTTTGGGCTTTAAATAACCTGCAAAGGGTTGATAAGCCATAGACAATGACTGAATCAATCAACTTGTGTAGGACCACATTTCTGTTGCTTAAGTCTCTTCATCTGTGAAAAGATTATCTAGCATTCACTACTTGTTATATATATATATATATATATATATATATATATATATATATATATATATATATATATATTAAGACCAATATCATGTAGCTATTCAGCACTCTTTGTTCCTAACAAAATTTTCCTGTTTCTTAATACTTTGCTTAACTTTTGGAAGGCTTTTTTGCTATCCTCCTCATGTGTCTTTGGATTTGGATGTCCCATTTTCTGCCATTCTGTCTTCTTAGAATTGATGCTTAGTCCTTTCTTCTTGCTTTCCTTTACTACCTTCTGTAGTTTCCTTTTCGTGTTGCTGTTGTAGTTGTTTTGAATGTAGTGTTGTTTGGCAAACTTAGATCTTCGTGCCTGCAAAAAACAGTGTCAAAAGGACGCTTTTTCCCTTGACACCACTATTATTTTAACTACCTTCACTCCTCAGCCATGTTTATTGTTTTAAAAAGCGATGATTAGAATTGTAATAAAACCTAAACATGTGATGAAAATGAATTTTCTTTGTTCTTGAGAATTGGCAACAGAAATAAACATAATTTATTTATTAGATTTTTTTATTACAATGGTTGGCATAACATCAGCTAATTGCCAATCAATTTACACTTTATAAAATGGTAAATAAGGATTTCTTTATAGTTGGTTCACATATTTTAAGAATTTAGTAAATGTTTATAAATTCATGAATAAAAAATTGTTTTCAGATTTATTTCTTTATAAATTGGTAAAAGATAAATATTACATTGTATTAGTTTTAACTGTATTAGTTTTTAGAATGTTGTGAATATAAAATTATTCTTGTAAATAAGAAATCTAATAAATAATAAATAAATAGTGTGTAATATTTTTCTCGTAAATTCTCGACAAAATAATGTAAAAATTCACTTTCATCATATGTTTAGGTTTTATAATTTTAATCATTGCTTTTTAAAACAATAAACATTGACGAGGGAGTGAAGATAATTAAAATAATAGAATTTTCAATGGAAAAACCATACTTTTGACACTTTTTTTTTTTTTTTTTTTTGCAGTTGGGGGTGTTGCAGACACAAAGTTTCAAGTTTGCCATTGTTCTTAATGCAAATTTAATGTAGTGATGCAATATTTAATTATTTTTTTCATTTTTACTTTAGATTTATGATGAGTATTTCACTCAGTATGCTGCAGCATTCTTCATATCTTTTGTGCTGACAGCATTCCAGGTATGTGATCGTCCTCCCTCCACCAGGTTGTTTAGACCAGATTTTCATGAGTTTTACACTTAATTAAACTAGTTTTTGATTTTTGCTAATATTTCCACCCACTTTTAAAGAATAACTTTTTTTTTTCCAAAGAGCATCCACATGAATAAATGTTTTTTATATTTTCTGGAAGACAATAAAATTAACCACTTCCTGTTCAACCACCAAAGTTAAGCAATATCGTGCCCGGTCAGTACTTACATAGATGAGGGACCACCTGGAAACTTTGTACTGTAAGCGCCCTTCTGCAATCTGAAATATATTGCGGCTTTATTGATTTGATTTGTTTTTTGGTGAGGCTTATCAACTTTTTGCAGATTATTTAAAGCCAGCAAATATTTTTAGATTGTAAGAATTTTTTGAAGATAAGGATTTTCCAATATAAGGGAACATAAGATGAGGATTCACACCTTTACCAAGTGTATTTGCATGTAAATGAAGATAACAAACTTGACTGGAATTAGAACTCAGCTCTCTGAGTTCACATTTTGAGCGGTTATCCATTATGCCACCCACATATCCCCAGCAGTCACCCATCTAGATACTGACCAGGCTTGACATAGCTTAACTTTTGTGATCCAATTTGGAAGAATTCAGTGACACACTTTTGCTTCATACACACAAATATGCCAGACAGCTGTTTTACTGCCATCTGTTACAAGGGAAAAAAATAATTATAGGTTATTGGTGGGAAGGTATAAGGTTTATTGCCATACCACCAACATCTACCACTGGCATCATGGGTTAACATAATAAAATAGGAAGCATCATGTGTTATTGGTGGGAAAGTTCTGCCATACCACCAACATCTACCACTGACATCATGGGTTAACATAATGTTATAAAATAAAATATGACATATCTCGGCTGATTTGCAGGCAAATAAACTAACATACTCAAGAGCGAGAGCCGGATGTGAACGAGACAAGGCCCGTCACAAAATGACCATTATAAAAACGCATTTTACGATAGGCCCGACACACAAGTTCTGGTCAAAAAATAAAAAAATATTTTAAAGTGTTTCTATTTTTCGACCAATAAAAATGCTTCCCTCCTAATTATACTCGCGTCGTTTTTCGAGCCTGTTAAGCCATAAAAAAACGCCATAAAAGGGGTCACACGGGGAAGTACAACAGCAGTCAACAGGAGGCCAGGGAAGAGACCTGTCACGGTCAGTCAGCAGCAGTCAACAGGAGGAGCACCACGCCAACCAGTGAGAACCTCTATAAGAGATCAACCCAGATTGGAAGTCAGCTTATGAACTATACCACATGTTCCTGTTGAAATAATTCACGTAAATCTATTTCTGCTGTTGTCGTATTTCTTTCTTGCAACCATACGCTTGTCTATAACAATAATAAAATAGGAAGCATCATGTGTTATTAGTGGGAAAGTTCTGCCATACCTACAACATCTCTGCATTGTGGGCCAATATTATAAAATAAGAGATATTACTTTCGGTTCCACCCTCATGCAATAATTAAGAATTTTTTCTATTTTATCTTTTATAAAATAATTCCTCAGTGATTTATCTTTCCTTTTAAAATAATTCTGTATTTTGAAAACATGTGACATAAAAGTGTATTAAGAAATTCGCCTTTCTCCATGCCCGTGACTAAGAAATTCGCCTTTCCCCTTTCTTATTTTCCCATTCTTATTTAGTACTGTTCAGTTTGGTTTTGTGAGTTCAATCCCTGGGTCAGGCAGTGGGTACTTGCACTCAGTGGAAACAGGTGAGCAATAACTAAGCAGTACTAAATAAAAATAAGAACTTGATCAAATATCCCTAGACATGGGCAGTGGAATGAGAACCGTCTACCCCCATAGATTGAAAAAGGCTTCAGTTCAGTATTCCCTGTACATTAACCAGATTGACATACACCTCAGCAAGGCCATAGGGCACAATGACAAAAACGCTGTGATGACAACAACAAAGATCAGGACGATAGTTATTAATATAAATAGTATAATAATAAACTAATATTTTTTTTATATATATATATATATATATATATTTCTTTTATGTTTCTTTGCTTTTTTTTGGTATTGTTTTAATATATAAATGATTATATGTACTATTCCTGAATGGCAAAAGTGCACTATTAAATTTCAGTGGGTTCTGTTCTCATTCTCATTATATACTTTTTATTTCAGATCTACCTGATGCTTTTCCCGTCAAAACAGAGGAAGCCCCTGGCAACTGCCACCTTGATCAGTATATGCTTATGCCAAGTGTATGTCTGGGAATACAAGAGTAGTCTTATAGTAGTCTCATTCTACATAATGGTCGCCTTCTTCACAACTTGCATCATCTTCTCTCGGAGACTTGAAGAAAAACAACAACACTACATGCTTTGATGTGGCCAGTGGCCATTGCTTGTGGCCACTTCAACAAATTTTTCTTTTCTTCTTCTTCATTACAAAAACCACTCAGTCTCATTCATTACCCCCTTTATTAATAATGAGAAAAATTAAAAATTGGGGGTCTTTTCATGGAATCAAATAAAGACTTTGGGAGTGCTGTCTGCCAGGTTCCTTCCCAAATATTGTTATAATTACAGTCAAAGTAAACATTGTATTTTTTTTTCTCTCTCTCTCGCTTATCAACATGCCAACATGTTTGTTTTTTTTAAAGATTCTGATGAGAAATCTAGTGATCTGATTGGTCAACTGCTGAAGAAAAGCATTGGTTGATGCGATAGTAGGTAATAACTCAAAAATAAATACTAAAAAGATCATTTGGTAGGACAAATGTAAACTAAGATGTAAGTTGAAAAAAAATACTCATTGAAAATCATTGTCAAATATAGTATATTTGTCTGCACACACACACACACACACACATATATATATGTGTGCACACATACACACACGTTTTGTTAAAAGCAACAGACAAGGTACTGCAGTTAAGATTATTATTTAATTTTTATGTTTTTTTTTGTTTTTTTTTTCTTGACATAAATTTGGATCATCCCAATGTGGTGTAATGATTAGCAAGCTTGACTCACTAGAACAATTACAACAGAGTAGTGAGTTCAATCCTCCTGGTTGCTCCATACTTTTGGCCTTGTGCCACATCTAAGCTATGCTTAGAAAATCATCATAAATTATGTAGAAATTAACGGAATGTTTTGAGCACATTTGGCTTCTTTTTTTTTTACCCATTTGACGATGATTTTATTTTTACTTTTAACTGAATGTATGGATTTTTTTTTATGTATGTATCTAGAGTTACAGGAATGTTTTATTTTTCAAACATGGTCAGCACATTGTGTCCATGTTTGTAGTTGATGTTATTGAGTGTTGGCTTTTAATTTTCTTCTCAGTAACATCAACTTCAGAGTGTTCAGACAATTCTATATAATTTATGACCAAAAAAGATTATAAGAACACAAAAAAATCAAATAAAGAAACTTAACTGCAGTACCTTATCAGTTATTTTTTAATGAAATTTGTATAAAAAAGGAATTGCTGCCCAAATGCACAATTTTATATATATATATATATATATATATATATATATATATATATATATACACACGCACACACACTTATATTAATTTATTTTGTTTAAACATTATTTTTGCTGGATACTCGTATTCAAGTAGAAGCTCAGTTTTTTAATTAAATGGTATTTTTTATCCAACTACATCTACCAGCCTGAATATTCGAGAAATCTTGTCAGGAAAATATGCGTCCTCTGGTAGGATGGAACTATCATAGGATCTGATTTGCCTGACCACACAGCCACATAGGACTTCCAGTCAAAAAATTATTAAAAAATTGACCAATTCAAAAACTGAGCTTTCGGTCGAATATGAGTAATCATCAAAAATAACATTTAAACCTAATAAATTAAAAATAACAATATGTCAGATTTAATTCATTTCCTAAAAATAAATTTACGTTAGAATACAATACAGAGCAGATATAGATGTTTTGAAAATCAACAGAGAAGTCTGTGTTCAAAAGGCACTATTCAGGCTTTGTTTAAATGGAAGCAGCCAGGCACGTCAGATCCATTCATGGTTGCCCATAGGGGATGCAGGTTCGAATCCTGCCAGAGGACACATGTTTTTATGACAGATTTCTTGAATATCCAGGCCAGTAGATGTAGTTGAATAAAAAATACTGTTTAAAAATTACCGTCTAATTCAAAAACAAAGAAACAAATATGAGTATCCATAAAAATAACGTTTAAACAAAATTAATTAAAAATAAGAGTGTCAAATTTAATTAATTTCTTATATATAAATGTGTGTGTGTGTGTGTGTGTATATATATATATATATATATATATATATATACACGCACACACACAAGCATATATAAAAGCTGTTTGCTTTTCTTGTCAATTTTTCTTGTTTTGTCGAAATTTGTTTTTAAGCAAGAAAAATTAACAAGCAAACAGTATAAATTGAAATAACAGCTTCTGAATCCCAATCGAAGGATGCCAGCTTAGGAGAAAAGGAATTAACAATTAGATATTAAAGCACACACACATATTTCTTTCATTTGAGGGAGCCAATCTAATGATGGCAAATTATCCTGTTAATAAACACACGCACAAGGGTCAGCTGAAAGTTTATAGCTGGCCAAGATATAAATGTAAATTGACACACCAGTTGGTAGACTAAAAAACCTGCAAGTGTACCAGGATACAACTGTCTTTTACTCTATCAATTGGTATCTACTTACATTTCTATTTTAGTCAGCCTATGAACTTTCCAAGTTCCAAAGTGTGTGTGTGTGTATATATATATATATATATATATATATATATATATATATAAAATGATAAAAAGGCTTAAACACTAATATTCCATGGTCATAATTTATTCCATTGGAATCATAAATACGATCCAATTCATCAGACCTACAAATTCAAAAAGAAAACAGAAAAAACAACTCCAGAAATAAAAAAATAAAATTTAGAGAGGGGTAACAGACGAGAGAAGGTGGGAGATTAAACCTTAACAGAGAGAGGTTTTAGAGAGGGGAGTCAAAGATGGTTTAAGTGAGAGAAATATGAATGTTGTCGGATGTCTAATACATTAAAGATGTAACTAGAAAGGATTCATTTTGTGGTGACATAGACAATCTCATCTTAAAGATCAGAAGAGGGAGGGATGGACAGGAAAAGAAAAGAAAAAGGGGTGGGGGAGAGAGATGGGGCGGGGGAAACTAAAACTGAAGGTCATTTATTAAAAGGGCCGCTGTGTAATTAAGAAAATTTGACAAAAATAATATCAACTACAGGTTACAAATCAAATATAAACATATAAAAAATAAATATAACAATTATCTAATCTAGCAAGGACCTATATTTCTATGTTCAAAAACACATGCGTATACACACATACACAATAACATATACATGTACATACACACATATACTCATGTACACACATACATATATATATATATATATATATATATACACACACACACACACACACATACACATCCACTCCTACTTTTTATTTCCGGAGTTGTTTATTCTGTTTTCTTTTTGAATTTGTAGGTCTGATGAATTGGATCGTATTTACAATTCCAATGGAATAAATTATGACCATGGAATATTAGTGTTTAAGCCTTTTTATTATATCCTTACTCTGTCCTGGACATTGAGTTCTACCTGGATTCTATCCTCTTGGAATTTTCTTTTTATACAAAATATATGTATGTATGCATGTATGTATATATATTTTGCATATGTATGTGTATATTTACCACTAATATATATATATATATATATATATATATATATATATATATATATTTAAACATAAGCATATATTGTTAAATATAACAGACAATGAATGTCTATTATGTTTGATCATGAGCCATTCTAAACTTTGTATGGTTGCTTTAATTTTGGGTGAAAATAGACAAAAATTCTCCAACGTTTGGATATTTTTTATTATGCTGGTTCTTATTAAAAAAATTATTCAAATGTTGGTCAATTTTTGTCTTTATTTTCACCTGAAATTAAAGCAACTATACAAAGTTTAGAACAGCTCATGATCAAATATAAGAGACATTCATTAACTGTTATATTTAACAATATATGTTTAAATAATGATCTGCTGCCCCAGTACTCTCTTTCTCTCTCTCTCCATATATATATATATATATATATATATATATAAATATATATACCTAAACAAAATAGAAAACTATTTGGAATTTGTCAAATCTAGTAATATATATTATTCTGCATGCATATATGCTCTCATATAGATAATCAAAGTTTATATTCCCCCACCCCTAAAAAGAAAGAAATTGTTGACCTCGGTATTTCTGGAAGATAATTTTTTTTTTTTTTTTTTTATGGCAAACAGTCTTTGTAATTAAAGCATTCAATGTCAAGTAATAAATAAAATTAATCCTTCATTTATCTGGTAAATAGTTAGAAACCTTCACTGAATTAACAATTGACTTAAAAAACTTTTACACACAAAACCGAAATACTTGGCTATGCATGATTCAAATAAAAATTTTACACTAATATCTAAATTCCAATTATGCATTAAAAAAATTCCATACATATGACCAAACAATTTCAAATATGTTTGCATCATAAATTCACATCTTTTAAAGAAAATATGATTTCTGAAAATATATCCAATTTTCCAATCAAGTCTCTTGAAGAGTGGATGTATTTTCCACAAAAGTCAGAATAAGATAATTGAATTAATTTAATTTATTACAAGATTATACACACACACACACACACACACACATATATATGTGCAGCAAGCATTCATCCAAACAAGTTTGATTAATAAGAACCGACAATGGTCACAATAGACCATTTCAAACGTCAAGCTTCCCAAAGAATACTAAAATCTAGACAAAGGAATTCTAACTACTATACAGACATCACATTGGTTCTTGATTAGACTCTGAAAGTTGAAAGTACTTGAACAAAAATCAGAACTTTGGACAGTTTATCCACAACTTCAAGCACAATGCTCAACACCTTATCTGAAAATTGAAAAAAAAATATAATAAAAAATTAAACAGACAGACCTTACCATTTTTTTTTTAATCAAACTTGTTTGGAGATATATAAAGTGCTACCTAAATTTTTGTGGAATTTAGAACATGAAACAGCTTCTGCAAAAAAAACTAAACATCATAGAAAACAATTTGTTTTTTTTTTTTTGTTTGTTTTTTATTATTTTTTTTTTTTGTTTGTTTGTTTTTTAATTTCCTGATTGAATAGTTTCAAAAGATGTATGAAATATTTGGTGAGGCATGAGAAACACTGGGTAATTTGACAGATATACAGGAATAATTTGGAGTTTCCCATGATACCAAATGAAGAATTATGGAGTGTTTATCTACCAAAT